GGGTGGGTATGTGATTGTGTGTGTGTGAGGGGTGGGTATGTGCTTGTGTGTGTGTGTGGGGGGTGGGTATGTGATTGTGTGTGTGGGGTGGTGTGGGTGGAGGTGGAGGGTGTGTGTGTGTGTGTGTGTGTGTGTGTGTGTGTGTGTGTGTGTGTGTGTGTGTGTGTGTGTGTGTGTGTGTGTGTGTGTGTGTGTGTGTGCTTGTGTGTGTGAGTTTGTGGATGCGTGACAACTCACCATCTCCTCGTCGCTGGCAAACGGCTGGGGCTGTTCCTCTCCAGACATGATAATGCGTCCGCGAAGATTCCGAGATCTGGGGAAAGAGAAGGGGAAAAACGGACGTGACCAAAATTGTTACGGTTACGAGGTCAGAGGGCTTGGAAACGTTATTTAAAATTAATACCTACAGAACGACAGTGACGCAGTCGGTTTAAAAATTGAGGTTCCGTGCGGGGATGTCCGTCCGCACCAAAAACTATTTTGGCCCGTGCTGTAGCTCGTCCAATGAAAAGACACGCTTTTTTAACGGATGACTTGGGACAGATGGCACCGATTGTTATCGAGCTACCGTTCCCGGTCTTGTATCAGTTTGTCCCATTTACATCAATATCCGTAAGAAAATAGTTCCGCCTGACTCATATCGAGCAATATTTTATTCCGGCCTCCCAAGAAAAGTGCCCTTCCACACCAATCTGTAACGTTGGAAAAAGTATTGCTCGAAAAGACAAAACGGGGTTGTCACCCGTTTAGAGGGCACTCTTCGGGAGAATTAGTGGTCCCGGCCTAATACCATAGAAATAACACTTGCAATCGGAAACACAAACGGAGGCCGATTAAAAAAGCTGGCTTGAGTTGCCAGGATGAAAATGCCACCCGATGAAGAAAAAAAAATAAGGTAGAAAATATTCGAAAATCTAACCCCACAAAAAAAGTACTGAAGACAGCTCTTTTTTCGACCTCCATTTTTGTTTCCGACTTCAAACTCTGAGTGTTATTTCTTAGGAGTTAAGCCGGGACCACTCCTCGTGAAGAGTGCCGTTTAGAGACCGAGGCTAAAAGTAAATGGGTTGCCAGGATGAAAATCTAGGCCTATGCTTTTGTGTCGGACGAGCTGCAGAAAATTTCCCAAACTGAAATGACGGTCCACTTTTTAATTCAAGAATCACTTGCGTTTCTTACTCATGGAATACTGACTTCAAACTTAGGAGTTAAGCCGGGACCACTCCTCGTGCAATTTTATTGATCCCAGAGGGCAGTTTGGTTAACGGTGTAAGCACCGACATTTGCTTAACATTACTGTTGAGTCTAAACTCACTAGATCTAGATCTGGGCCCACTCATTAGCCACCCGAGCCCCCAACTTTTAATTAGTTAAAACGTTCGGCTCACCGTGCGACATTTCCAATCAACCACTAAACAACCCTAGATCTAGCTGTACAAAGCCAAGTCCTAGCATTAAGCATTGCCATTAGTTAGTAATAATATAATAATAGGAAACTCACTTGGTTGACTAAGCGTTTGGCTCACCGAGTAATATTTCCAATCTTTTCTAAACAACCCTAGATCTAGATCTTAATCTAGCTCTACAAAGTGCCCAGCTCAGAAGGATCTAGCATTGCCATTAGATTTAGATCTTGATCTAGTCATTAATTAGTGAATGCCAATACTTGGTACAAGATTCAAGCTTATTAGTTTTATTATTAGCATTAGAATCTAGATCTAGATTCTAGATCTTCTAGTATTAGTAAATTAGGGTTAGGCTCACCGTGTGCTATTCCCATCGAACACTAAACAACCCTAGATTTAGCTCTACAAAGGCCAGTCCTACCCCTGAACACTGCATGCAGTGCCAGTGGTCATTAGTTAGTTATAATAAGTTAGGTCGGAGTATTAGGGACTAAGAGCTAAGAAGGAGAGCAAGCCTAGGCCTAGATCTACAGTCTGTGTTTGGTTCTACACGATACAACATCTAGATCTACACAAGCCTACACTGCCCAGCCCAGCTTTTAGCTACAAAGAAAACTACCACAGCATTCTGATCATTACCTTAGGTTCTGACAAGGCACAGACACGTTCGCAACTGTATCTGGTTTCGCTATCGAATGAGAGACACGGCACGGCGGAAGTCAAGGAAAACTTCCGCTTCCGCTTTTATTATTTTTCCTATTTCTGAGCACAAACGAGGGGTGGTGTGCAATCAACCTAAGAAAGGCGATGGAAGCCGTGACTGAACGCAAGTGACCAAGCGAGTTAAATTATAATATACAGAGAGAGAGAGAGAGAGAGAGAAAGAGAGAGAGAGAGAGAGAGAGAGAGAGACAGAGAGAGAGAGAGAGAGAGAGGGAGAGAGAGAGAAAAAGACTGAGAGAGAAGAAATAAGAGATGGGAAAAGAGAGAGAGAGACATAGAGAGAGGGACCAAGAAATAGAGAGAGGGAAGAAGAGAAAGACAGAGAGGGAGTGAGAGAGAAAGAGAGGATGAGAAGAGAAATGAGCGAGAGAAAGAGAGAGAGAAGAGAGTGAGAGAGAAAGACTGAGAGAAACGAAATGAGAGAGGGGAAAAAAGAGAGAGAAAGACAGACAGAGAGAGAGAGAGAGAGAGAGAGAGAGAGAGAGAGAGAGAGAGATAGACAGAGAAAGAGATAGAGCTGGGGAGGGGGGGGGGTGAGGGGGGGGGGTAGGGGGTGGGGAGACTTAATGTGTATTTCACTTTCAAGCGATGTTGGCGACTGAAACAAAATACGCACACAGTGCGCCTTTATCTATGAGCGCAGACCTCCGGGACACACCGTGAAGCGCCGATTTTTACACCTCGTCTTTTTCTATGTTCTTTTTCGTGCACCAACATGTTTGTCTGTTTGTAGATCTACTCTCTTCTTCTTCTTCTTCTTCTTCTTCTTCTTCTTCTTCTTCTTCTTCTTCTTCACAACGACCCTCACTTTTTCTCATCTCTCATTTGTAAAAAGCTTGTCCACGTGGCTACTAGTATCGATTACTCAATGTACATTAATACTCTAACTTTTTTAGCTCCCCGTTATAATTTTGAGAGTTTAGAATTCAAAGTCCCCAATTTAGGATAAGAAACCTGAGTTTTAGAGGACAGAGCCCCGTGCAGTGGTGTAAGATTTTTGTATTGTGAGATATGACGTACGATTCTGAAATAGTTGGGTATCGATATTTGACGATTTCGATACTATACAATTAAACGTCATTTTTAACAAATTTCTTTCTTTAAGATGCATGCTGACTTTCAGTATGTTATAGAGGAAGGTCTACTGGTTGTAACGACACCAAAATCATCTTTGTTGCAATTATTTTACCGCCATAGTGAAATGCACAGGTACATATGGATTATTCGCCTAGATCTAGATCTAGCACTACTAGCTAGTGAATATCATTACTCGGTAATAGGAAGCTTACTTGTTACACTAAATTAGTATTAGTATTAGGGTTAGGCTCAAAATGTGCTGTTCCAATCAAATACTAAAAAACCCTAGATCTAGATCTACAAAGGCCAGTCCTATCCCTGTACACTGCATGCAGTGTCCAGCTAACACAGCGGTTCTAGTTAGTCATTAGTAAGTTATAAAAAATTAGGGAATGCCTTTCTAGATCTAGATCTAGACTAAGAACTAGAAGGAGAGGCAAGTTTAGGCCTAGGCCTAAGTCTAAATATCTAGATCCAGATTTAGTCTCTCTCCTTTAGGAGACTCGGTGAGTCTTGTTAGGTTCTATACGATACAATATCTAGATCTAGAGCTATATTAAACTGACCAGAATTCACCTATGATAAAATGTCACAGCTATCTAATCATTACCTTATGTTCTGAATGAAGATCAAGGGCCAGATCTACAACACGTTCCCCAGAAAAATCCAGTTTCGATTTAGCAAAAAAAACGAGAGTGGGAGAGCGAGAGAGAGAGAGAGAGAGAGAGAGAGAGAGAGAGAGAGAGAGGGAGAGAGAGAGAGAGAGAAAGAGAGAGAGAGAGAAAGAGAGAGAGAGAGACAGAGAGAGCGAGAGAGAAGGAGAGAGGGGGGGGCAGAAGAGAGAGAGAGAGAGAGAAAGAGAGGCGGAAGAAGAGAAAGAGAGGATGAGAGCAAAATTGAGAGAGAAAGAGAGTGAGAGAGAAGAGAGAGAGAGAGAAAGAGTGAGAGAGAAGAAATGTGAGATGGAAATTGAGAGAGAGGGAGAGAGAGAGGGAGAGAGAGAGAGAGAGAGAGAGAGAGAGAGAGAGAGAGAGAGAGAGAGAGCCCTTTGTCTTTTATCTAGAATTTGTCACACCAGTGTACCTATAAGTCTCCAGTCCGACTATCATAAGGAAATATTCTATTCCCTGGTTTCACCAAAAGAAGCTGATTTCTTTTTCTATGTCGAGGGAGACTGAAAACTGTGTGTGTGTCTATGTCGAGGGAGACTGTGTACTCTGTGTGTGTGTGTGTGAGAAGAGAGAGAGAATAAGAGAGAGAGAGAGAGAAGAGAGAGAGAGAGAGAGAGAGAGAGAGAGATATTGAGAGAGAGAGAGAAAACAGCTGTGGCCCAACTCTCGTCCGGAAATGTTATGCCCCCATCTTTTTCATTCCTGTGTGGGTAGGGGTATTTTTTGTTTATCGAGTAGGGGGCCTACGACCGCCTGTCAGCGGTATTTTTTGTTTATCGAGTAGGGGGCCTACGACCGCCTGTCAGCTGGAACGCCGTCTGTTTTTACACAACAGGTGCACCGTAACCGCCCAGGCCCGGCTAATTATCCAAACTGATTGTAGTGATTTAACAGACAGGGAAGACTGATTGGAAAACATAAAAAAACAAGACAGACAGGAAAGACTGAATTGAAAACATAGAGTACATGACAAACGGGAGGACTGATTTGAAAACAAAGAGAACAAACACATTTTGCTACCGATTTGAACTTTTATTTCCATACTGCCGGTTTCTCATAGTTTACAACACATTGCCAAAGCAGTGCGGCGGCCGCCGGGATGTACATTTCACATGTTCTATGCTCTGCGTAGTACCGTGTTGGCCGCTCGGTTCCAACCAGAAAGTGGGCCGTTGCCCGAACCATCGTTTTCCCGGCCACCCTTCTGGTTTGAACAGAGCGTTACACCCTTGCGCCACGGTGAGGCCCGGTACTTCCGACTTCCGCAAGGGGGGGGGAATGGGGAGGGGAAGTCTGTGAGCTGTGGAAGACAAAACAAATAAGCGATAACAAAAACGTTCCCTACAATTTGGTCCCGTACCCGATACCTGCTGACGCCGTTAAAGAACTTGCTATTTTCCCATAACCGGTGACGTGGGCCAGTTCCAGTTCCCCACGGACACCTGTCACCCCACATAATTTTATCACTCCCTGCACTTCCCCCCAAAAACATTCCCCCCCCCCACGACAGCCGAAACTGACATCTTACGTAATGAGGAGTCAGGGGTCAGTTCCCCACTAACCCCTAACCCCTCAGAAAGAGTTCCCCAAACTGGTTGAAAGATGGAAACAGCTCATGCCCCCAAAAAGCTGTTAACTTTTACACTTGCATCAAAACGGATTCTTTAAAATACAGTGATTACTCAAAAGTGCAGCTTAGCGAAAAAATGATCTACACCCCCCTCCCCCTCGCTTCTCTTCAAACTTCATCAACTTTTTTACTTCACACCTTACCCCCAACCCCCTCACACTCACAAAGGTACTGCTGCCTCAGTCTCAAGCTAGGAACAGACCACGCATGAGACACACGGACAAACTGGACTGGCCACAGATACGGAAGCAGGAAGCTGAAGGGACTATTAAATCCTACGGAGACTGGCCCGCTCTTTAACGTCAAAAGCATCAACTGAGGCGTCTTATCAAGCTAAATAAGAACAAAGACACAAACTACACACACATGCATCAACTAGTCTCATTTCCCATATTGGAATACTTTGTCGTTCCCTTAGAAGCCAGGCTCAGGGCCACGTCGAGGAAACTCTTCGGGAAGAGAGAAAAAACAATGCACAGAGGGGAAAAAAAAAGGAAATTTAGAAAAATGTCTTCTGAAATAAAACTTATTATTGTAAAAAATGATAATTTTACAGACATGCCAAAGCATTAAAAAATTTATCATTCATTCCTTAAACTAAAAATTATAAAAAGTAGGTTATAAAAATAACAACAACAGCAACAATAATAATCATCATCATAATCATCATATATTTTACAGACATGTCAAACAAAAAAAATAAAAAATTATATAAATAATATATTTTTTAAAAGAATTTAAAAACAATTTTTAAAAACTAAGAATTTTACTGAGATGTCAAACTCGCCTCCTAAAAAGATTTTTTTACACATAAATAAAAAAAAAAAAAATACTAGTAATGATAATAATAATAATATCAATTTTACACACATATTATTATAAACTCAATCAACTAAAACAAACAGACTTCACCACCCCACTCCCCCACCTACCTGCTCCGTTGTTTCTCCTGTCGGTAAAGAGTTCTATAATTAACTCTCAAACAACCCGCTGTCATCTTCCACCTCGTCGTCCGTATCCACCAACAACACTCTGTAAATTTGGTCCAAGTCTACCTCGTCCTCAGCCCGCTCCCCAAAATCACTATCGTCGCTAGAAAAAAATTTCTCATCCTCCTCAAAATCCCCACTATCCTCCTCAAAATCCCCACTATCCTCCTCCCCGTCCCCGGAATCCCCCTCAAAACTCACCATCTCCTCGTCACTAGAAATAGGCTCTGGCTCCTCTATGATTATGGGCAAGATATGCCTGGCTCCGTCTGGTGCCCGCGAAGACTCCGAGTTCTGGGGAAAGAGAAAGGGAAAAACGGACCTGACCCAAATTGTTCCGGTTACGAAGTCAGAGGGCTCGGAAACACTATTTAGAAATACCCACAGAGCGAGAATGACACAATGACACGGTTGTTTTAAAAATGAGCCACCCAGCGAAAGTGTCGGTCCGCATCAAAAATATTTTTGAACATGCTACAGCTAGTCCGACAAAGGGACGGCTTTTTAAAGATGACTTTTAACTGACGACACCGATTTCTAGCGAGCTACCGCATTTGGTCTTTTATCAATTTGTCCCATTTACATCAGTATACCGTGTCAAAAAACAGCTCAGTCAAAATTCTCACCAGGAAATGTTATATCATCATATTTCTAAAAAGTTGTTTTAATGTTTAGTGTTTGTGTGGGTGTGGTTGTGTGTCTGGGTTGGTGTAACTGGGTTGGTGTGTCTGGGTTGGTGTGTCTGGGTTGGTGTGTGTGTGTGTGTGTGTGTGTGTGTGTGTGTGTGTGTCGGTATGTGATTGTGTGTGTGGGGTGGGTGGGTATGTGATTGTGTGTGTGTGAGGGGTGGGTATGTGCTTGTGTGTGTGTGTGGGGGGTGGGTATGTGATTGTGTGTGTGGGGTGGTGTGGGTGGAGGTGGAGGGTGTGTGTGTGTGTGTGTGTGTGTGTGTGTGTGTGTGTGTGTGTGTGTGTGCTTGTGTGTGTGAGTTTGTGGATGCGTGACAACTCACCATCTCCTCGTCGCTGGCAAACGGATGGGGCTGTTCCTCTCCAGACATGATAATGCGTCCGCGAAGATTCTGAGATCTGGGGAAAGAGAAGGGGAAAAACGGACGTGACCAAAATTGTTACGGTTACGAGGTCAGAGGGCTTGGAAA